CAGAAGTTAAAATTTAGCTTGACTTGAATTTTTTTTTTCTTACTCCTTCCTAAACACAACTTGCTGAGAATGAAGAGATTAATAGCACAATAATGAAAAGTTGGGTAAGCAAAGAAAGAAGACAAGGACTACTAGGGACAATAAAAAATGCTAAATGCAACTGAGTACTCAATGAGAGTGTGCAATTTGAGAAGTTTCAGTATACTGAGATTCTCTACATGTACTTAATGTGAAAATTAACCCAGGGGTGAAGTTACTGATTTTCATGAATATTATAAACATTTCCCAGAAATTTATTTCACTTAGATCTCCTAGATTTGTACATGGAAATCCTAAGGTTGCTTTTACACTAAATAAGGCAATATCCTTCAAATTTGTCTTGGAAGGCCTAAAATCAATGTTCTAGAACACTACAATATTGTTGGTCAATTTTGAAAAGTGATTTAAATAATGTACAGTTGAAGGACATATGAAAGACAAAATTAAAGTAAACAAAAAAATAAGCTAACTCTTAGAACTGTGTTTTTTAATTTATAGAAATTTAAAAATCAAAATTTAAAAACTTAAAATGAAATAAAATCTTTGACTTTTGAATAAACAAAGACATTAAAATTGCACCTTCATGTCTCATAACTACTTTATTAATACATATAATAATAAGAAAGCATGCAAGACAGAACATTAAATACAATAATTAATACACATTTGCCACTGGACTACATACTGCCATCCTAGGCCAGACGATATCCAACCTTCTCACTTCCAAAGCATGGTTAGAGCTACTTTGGAATATCGTTCACTTTCAGATGCTGTATGATGTCACAGAGGAAGAGCCTTCCAAAATACAAACATAAATACATTATTTCATAAAATTACAAATATTTTATGCAGGTATATAATAAATTTTACATAAAAGTATCACATACAATCACTAAACAAATGCCTTCTTTTTTTATGTGCACACACATTTTTTGAGCAGCTTTTTCATCACTACACTTTCTGTTGTAATTTTTCACTGCTTTTTTAAATCATATTTACTGAAAGCACATAAGTAATTAGTATAAGAAAGCTACTATGGATGAATATATTAAGCCTTCTCCATAAAATTGGTCTGGTGTTTTAATTGGCATGTAATATATACAAGGTTCCTATAGGGATATAGTTCAACTTCTCCCACTTCCATGATTTTTTAGGCCAAACAAGCCAGTTGGAAATAGCCAAATTAGTGTCTAATGATCATGATAAAAATTTTATCTAAACAAACTATATATATTACATTTGAAAAAAAATTATGAAAGTTAAGAAATTATAATCAGACAGAAAAAAATATAAATCAGAAGAATATAAAAAAAGTTTCTTAATGTATATTGGAAGATAAATATACATTCAACCTTAATAAAAGCAACAAGAAAACTAATGCTGACATATGCATATGGTGGAGTCCTGGGGATACAGTGATTAAGTGCTCTGTTGCTAACCAAAATGTCAGTGGTTCAAATCCACCAGCCAATCCATGGAAGAAAGATGTGGCAGTCTGCTTCCATAAAGATTACAGCCTTGGAAACCCTATGAGGCAGTTCTACTCTATGATCCAGAATCTTGATGACAATGGATTTTTTTTTTAATTATACACTTAATTTTCCCAAGACTGAAAAGGGTTTTGTATGTGGAACATGATTACATTTTAAGGACTGTCTAATTTGTTATTTTTTTCATGACTATTTATTTACAGTTTGATGAAAGTGTGCAACAAATATTTATTTGCGAAGGCAAAGGTCATCATAACTTTCACCATTACACAATAGCACTAACCATTTAACAACCATTTTTTTTCCTATTCAAATTTACATGACTAAAAAATGTTAAGTAACTAGATGAGATTACACAAAAGTGTACTCTCTAATTCTGTTACATTGTTTGTATTCTATGTAAAAGTTAGTTTTTAATACACTCACACAATTTTAGTTAAAACTTGAAGATAAGGAAGTATGAGAAAAGAATTTGTTTGTACTTAGTGTAGAAGTTACACAGTGTTTGAATACATATTTAGAAATGTGTCATATTAATGATATAGTTAAAAAAATAATAATCACAATGTAATTGAATATAGCAACAAATTGGAAAGCCACTCAGAGTGAACATATAATTATCATACAAATCATTCAACAGAGGTCTTTTTCAAACCAAATCAGATCTTTCTTTTTTCCCCAAGGCATTACATATATATATATATATATATATATATATATATATATATATGTTAAAGTAAAAGCTCCTGCAATTCCCAGACTACGTTGTTTGCACACCAGAACTGCCCCCTATGGGCTTTGTAAATCTGTAACTCTTGTCCATCCATTTAAAGAAAGAATCTGCAATGTGATGAGAAAGATCTCATCAGCTCTGAAGTCCTGGAAGTAACACGTCTCCAAGGCCAGGCTTAGTGGAAGCTTAGAAAGAGAATTCATTGGGGATAATAACTGGGCTTACACCCTTTGTCTCTTTGGCTACTTCTAGCCTGCTTCCATTGAAAGCATCTCTGGTATAAACCAGAAGATGGTGCCCAGTTATCAAATATGTTAAACACAATCTAAGTCTGATTCTAGAATCAGAGTTAGAAAGGGCAATGAAAGCATGTTTGTTCATTCCTATATCTCTAGGAAAGGTATAAACACTTCACAAATTTTTCAATATGAGGATTCAAGAGCCTTCCTTCTAACTCAATAAATCATACTGTCAAAGAAAATTCTCAAATACCTAACTTGGTTTCTTGTTCTGATTTCCATTATCTTAGATGGTAAAAATTCATATACCTGTCTTATTACTCAATAACCCTCAGATTTTCTTTGTTAAGATTTTAAAATTTTATTTCTGTATGTAAGTCTTACACTGAAACATGTGGCATAACTAAAATACAATGAAAAAAATCTCACTTGCATAATATTTGCAAGTTGTTTGAGAGGGAAAAAAACAACCTTCTAACATCTACTGGAAGCACTGATTTTGTCATTCTGGGTTTCTTTATCTTCCCCAGGCATATAAAGTTAACAACAACAATAACAACAATAATATTAACACATATACATGATCATTATCATTAGTTCTTCATTAGGATTCACAGGAACCTAGAAAACCAATAGTCTCCAAAACACTTTTAACACTGTAAACAAACACAAAGATAAAAACATAATCCTAATCAATTTGAAATTTCATTTAGTAAACTCTAACAGTTATAAGTTAAGAAGTTATTCTACACAATAAATCAAATATGGTTTAAAGAGCTTTACAATGGGAACAATATATTCTCAAAACGCTACTTAACCTGCTGGGCACATAAAGAGAAGCTTTCTCCACATTCCATGGACACTTTCACCAATAAAATTGTACATTTACCACAATTTATATTACAACATTTATACAGAGGTTACTTATAAATTACATGTATTCAAGTTGCACATTACAAAACCTACATCTAATTTTATCAGCAAGAAATATTCTATTCTCTGCCCCCCATAAAATATCAATTATGTCTTAAATAAATGAAATATTGAAACATTAACATTTTGGGGGGTTTATTATGGAGGAAAAGTAAAAGAATGATATTTCTAGAAAATGATGAAATGTCACATAAAAGAAAAGAAATAACAGAAGGAAACCAGTGTTTCCCTAGGAATACTACTGTATTCTCTGCTTAGAAGGACATATTTTGTCTCATATATGAGATTTTGTGTTTTGTGTTTTTCTTTATGTTATTGGAGATTTATTCTCCACCCCAAGAATCAATCATTTCTCCCTCTGCACATCACCATAGAATTCTATACAATTACACATCTGATGTAGATTTGTTAATAAGTCACTTGAAAATTTCCTTCTTGACTTTTGTCTTATGCTATTTTCTTCAGTAAGTTGAGCTAGAATGACAAAAGAACCCTTAGTCTTGTTGGTTTAGTTTGTGATTTTATCTGTAGTCTAGTGAGCTGTCAAATTAACATTTAAAGCTTCCTGATATTTTCTCAAAAAACAGTAGTCTAACAGCCATTGCTGCAGTTATACCATATTCATACAAATTCCAGAAGATAAAGACCTAATTAATAGTGAATGCAGGCTTAAAATGACAGATGTAA